GTATACTGGAAACCTTACATAAAAAAATAATTTTGTTGTGGCTTTCAGCTCACTGTGGAATATATCATAATGAATGAAATGGCTGATTTTTTATCCATAAAGGGAACCAAAATCCTACAGATTCCATGAAATCATATCCCTTACTCTGCTACAGTGTGAGTAATAAAAGAATGTATGAATAATGCGTCAATCCAGGCAAGCAGATCGAATTAAAGAAAAGCATTGGAGGGAATCTCGTTTAAATGTTCCAGCTGCTCCTAGACGAATTGCTGTTTCAGCCTTTCGGTTGGAAATTGGGCATAATTGCCTTGCTTATTTACATTTAACATCTTTTTGTCCCCTAACTGTATATTAGGCATGAGAAATACTGTTATGGATGCTTCTCATCTCAAAGAATGCTCTGAAGTGACTGGACATTAATATGATAGATACTGGCAGGCTAGAGAGAGACTTAAAGCTCTCCAGTCTGTTTGAGATTGTCTTTTGATATGTTGTAATTTTGCATTCTGATCTTTTTCATGCTATTTTTGCTTCTCATCATGGGTTTGTGTCGTGTGCTTTTCACATTCTAGCCAATGAATGTATGTTCAAGTGCTACTGCTAAAAATAAATAAAAAATAAAAAGTTCCGAAATCTTGAATAAGTAGTTTTGATTTTCAGAATTATCACTAATGTCCATAGGAATAGGATTCTCAGGGACATTATCATCATCATCCACATGTATAACCATCAGGTTGCAAGAAGGCATGAAGACTTTGGATTGCACAGTCATAATAAGCTTCTTTATGCACGAAAGCAAAAAGCTAAATGAGTAAGCAAATTTGATTTCCTAATAAATACATTTATCTGCATGCTTTGTTTGGGATGCAGTTTTCTGAAGTCAGTACAGTGGAATAGAGAGCAATATTCATATCTTCAGCCATAGCTTCTTAGACATTCTTCTAATATCTGCAGGAATTTTTATGGCCTAATTTTATATCCAAATTATGGAATCATTTGCATTTGTTTCTTCGAAGACTATGTTCACTGTCCTTAAGAACATGTAAACTTCCTCTGATTTTACTGTGTAAAGCTGTATCTAGTACCTAACAACTATGGACCAGTCTATGTAATTTTCCAGTTTATGATGACATTAACTTTTCACTAAATACAAGCTCAACAGTAAACATTTAGAGTTCTAGAAATATGGGAAGATTTTCCCACTACAAAACGAGGCATTATGTCTGCTTCATCTAACTGTCATAGGAATACAATTAATGAATGAACGAAATATATTTATAAATCCATTTAGAGTTTTGTCTACTGATGCCATTTTATTTTTGTTAAACATTATAGTCATTATTTTGGAAGTTTTATCACGTCAATGAAAAATAAACTGCTGTTTGATTTCCTTCAGTTAATTCTTAGTTGGGTGTCTGTGCCATCAAATGAGAAGGGCATACCCAGTGACTAGAGATGCAGTATTGAAAATATCCCCCCCCCCCCGTTAAGGTCAAACATGATTACAGGTACAGAAAACAGAAGTATAACAAATAGCAGTTTTTAACAGAATGTGAATGAACTACATAAGATGTAAATATAGCAAGAAAGAATGATACATTCATGTGAGAATATAAATAATACCTTTGTTACTGTAGGACTTAATTTCAATAGGTAAAATTCCTAATTTAGAAACAGGTCTCTTCAATGTGCCATTTTTAGTTTTGTCATCTACTACTTTAATCATTTGATCCTTTCCAGCATAAGTTTTTACTATGCAGCTAATAACCATTTAGATGGAGGCAAATTTTCCTCACTTATCATAGCCATGTCACCAAATTTTACATTTTGTTTTTCAAAGTACCACTCTGTTCATTGTTGTAAATTATTCAAATAAGTGGTACTCCAGAATTTCCAAAAGGTTATGTCATTTTTGAAATCAGTTGCCACAAATTTAACTTACTAGAATGTCAATAAGTGGTGGTTCGGTAAAAGAAGTCATTGAACACCCGATTAGAAAATAACCATGGGTCAAAATGTCTAAGTCATCTGTATCTGTCAAAAGAAGCATTAGAGGGCGTAAATATATAAAATAGATTCAGTTTGAATCATAAATGGACAAGAATGACTCATATGGCATTTTCAAATCACCTATAAGGCTTTTGAAATAGTATTTAAAGGATTTGATTCTGGATTCCCATAAAGCTGCCAAAATTTGGCACCGTTGGGAGAACGAATTTCCATTCAGTATTTTCATTTAGAAAAAAATTTGCTAATTTTTCATCCTGTGGTACTCATTTGAAAAATTCTTTTAAATCCTTATTTGCTGGAACCAGCATCAGAAAAAAATCATCACACCTTTCAGGCTTGCCCATAAAATATTTCAAGGCTGCTATAAGTGAATTTTACATCAAGTCAGAAATTATAAGTGAATTTTACATTAAGTCAGACACAATTTCCAAGTATATAGCCTTAGTTGGAAAGTGAACAAAAAGAGCAACATAAATTTTCATGGGGGATCCTTTCTGATGATTCTTGTTTTTTTTTATAAAGAATGGACTACAAAAATCTATTCCTGTAGCATTAAATATGAAATCTGGATTTGCTCTTTCCTTTGGCAAATTTGCCGTTTTTTGGGAGCATAATTTTGGGTTTGCTCTGAAACATTGAACACAATTGTGTAACATTTTCCTGCATGTATTCTGACCATTTAAAGGGCAGTATTCCTGCCATATGATATAAAGTAATGTTTGAGGAACAGTATGATGGAACTTTTCATAAAAATACTTTGTAATTAAACAATTTAACCTTGGATGGCAATATGATGGGGTGCTTTTGGTCTCATTTAATTTCAGTGTTACGCAACCTCTCTCCACTTCTTAGTAACCCTTGATTATCTAAAAAAGGAGATAACTCCTTTAGATGACTGGATGGTTTTACAGCCCCTTTCTGATGTAAATTTCTGATTTCATCCTTAAATTATGTTAACTGAATTTCCATTACAATAAATTATTTGGTGACTTTCCCTTCACAAATTTTAAGAGGCCCCTGCTTGACCTTATCATTCCCTTTTTTCAAATTCCCCATAAATCTGAAAATATAGGCTAAAACATGTATAATTTTAGTAAAGTTATTTCTAATGTGAAGCAAAGAATGTAGGAAACTGGATTTAGCTGCAATATTAGAACTAAGTTAGAGTCCTCATTAAGATTACAGTCTACAGAGTTCATTTGCATCTCAGGATGATAATCTTCTTCAGAAACACTAGTGTCCTCATTTACAACAAGTAACTCTTACAACAGGTTAAGAAGGATGGTCCATGCCACCACGTTGCATTCTCTTGAAGAGATTTAGCATCAGTTCCTCTAGTCACTATATCTGTTGGATTGTCATTACTGAACAATGATGGCAGGAATTTTTAATATGTGTATGCCTGTTGCAGGTTAACATTAAAGACTTTCTTTTCCCCATTGCTAGATAATGAGTCAAAAGATGAATAGAGATAAAATGATCAATAAAATAATCAAAATGTAGAAGAGTTACTTCACAAACGAAAAGAACATAAACACATTGCCCTTGCTGTATTGCGAAATGACTAACTAAAACATTGTGGTGAGAATGGTAACCATGCCTCTGTTAAATCAATAGCAATGCTTGCTCTAAGGTTAGCTGAAAGATGCATGGCCATAAGAGAATGTTAAAAAATGTGATGATGAACATGTATGTCAAAATATAAAAAAATACTCTCAAGTCATAAAAATCTCAAACTCTGGACATTTTTGCAACCCCAGAAAGCACTAAAAACCCAGGACTGTTCTAGCTAATCTCAGAGATATGGCGAGCGTACCATTATTTCACTATTGTTATAAAAACAAAAGCAGTCACCGATAATTTGTTTTTTGATTAAATCTATATTACTTATTCTAAATTATTATACATTATTTGAAGGACATTTGCTGGTCACTGATACACCAAACCTGTAACATTAAATTCATGCAAAGGGAATTATAATAAAGCATTTTATTAGAAGAATAGAAAAACATTACAATAGCAACACACTACAGAAGTTCAAAGCTAACATTTGAAGACTGCCAATGTAAAGTAGTAGGGTATCATAAGTAATATCAATCAATTGTAATGCTAGGTATGGTAAATATGTAGTGTTGCACAGTACATTTCAACTTTTATGAACGAAGAAAAATGTATTTACTCTGATACTTTTGTAAGGAAATGATAAATATTCTGATCAATTAAAATACCTGATATCCTCAAATGAATAGTCTGAAGAGGAAGAAATTATTAGTCCAAAGGGGCTTTGTCTCTGAAGGACTATTGTTTTCGTTTTGCGTTGAATCACTATAAATGGCGAGTCACTTTTCAAACTGTTGCCACCAAATGTTAGAGTCTTGCATTATATTTGAAGAAATTAAATGATGAAAAATTTCCATAAATGTATGTATATTTCTCGCATTGTGATAAAACAACGGTACATAGAGCCATCGAATTTTGAATGATGTAATCCTCCTACGAATATGTGCATTTGGAAGACCAAATTTGAAATTTAGAATTTGTTTTATTATCTATTTCATATTTTGTAAAAAATTTTTGAGCTACAAATTCAATGATTTAAAAGCAAGTAATGGCAACACTCTATGGGGAAGGACCTTTTTATCTCTAGCGCATAGAACCGTGTAGCGGAAATTCTAAAGATATGCTCATTTTAAAATTATATTGTGACATTGCTATTGAACTGAATTTTACGGTTTAAGTGCAAAGAACATGGTATTTACTAAATAAAGGTAACACGCAAAATGTTTAAAAAAAAAAAAAAAAAAAAAAAAAAAAACGCACCCTTTAACGTAATTTAAAATCTGACACCTTTCAAGTTTTTTTTTTTTTTTTTTACATTATTATTATTATTTTTTTTTCAAATAATCAAACCTTTAGAATGCTCTCACTTATTTAAATAATAGTTTGATTAGTATCTAAATTTTTAAAAAATCACTTGCTTATATCTTCAGGATATCACTAATGATGTAAAGGAGGAACAAGCTGAATCTGACGTTGACATACTGATCGCTGAGGAAGAGGTAATTTTCCATTCTTTATATGAAAAGTTTGAAATAGTTCCCTGTAAGATCCAGAACTGTGTGGGGTCATTTTAAGACGAATCATTGTAGATACGTCTTTTTAACTTATGCATTCCTGTTTGTAACTCTTATTTAAATATGTGTATTGTAAACTGTGACACATTAGTATTTTAATTTGTTTAAAAACGTGTTATGACGTATAAAATTTCTCATTGTGGTCTTTATATTTTATTCTGCAAGAATAACTTGAATTCTTAAACTAGTTGCAAATGTGAAACTCTGTGATCTCACAAAAGTGAGTTGCAAATGTGAAACTCTAGTGCAGGGGTTCCCAACCTTTTTGTCTCTAAGAGCACATTCTAGAATATCTGTTGGACAGTTACTATTTACTTTTTAAAGGTGAATTTATTGTTGGATAGAACTAATAATACATGCAACATAAAAAAAAAGAGATCAGTTGCATTTCGCTTTGTGCTAATATCTGTGTTGGACACAATTTTTATTTCATTAAAAATTTAAAAAAACTTTCACATAGAATTTTATTGAAAACTAAAACATATTGACTGTGATCGCACAGCGGTGGGCATACGTTAAACGATCGGTGGGTGCCTTGGTGCCCGCGGGCATAGGGCTGGGAACCCCTTCTCTAGCGCATTTAGAAAATTTAGTAGTGAAGAGCTCAGCAGCAGATATCTCTTTGTTGTTTAAATATAATTGTTTTCTCATCTGTGATATATATACATAAAAATAATGAGAATCTAGTTTAATTCATACAAATAAGTAGAATCATGGATAATTTGGTTTAATAAATCAAGTGTTAAACAAAGCTAAATATTTTACCC